ATTACAGGCACGCACCACCTCATCGCAACCCAGGGGCAGGGCCAGCACTATAGCTGCCTGGGGATCAAACCCCCAGCCCCAGCACCAGCTTGCAGTCACTTTAATCTGCTGCACTATTTGACTGGCCCTTCAAATTTTTATTTATTTATTTTTTCCAAATTTTTATTCTTATAGGTCTCATTATTTTGTGGTTATCTCAGCCTACCCTGGGTGGTGCCAGGGATCAAACCCGCCATCCCTGTGTATGCCTACGCTGATTGTTTATTTTTTTATCTTTTATTTTTTTGGCAGAACTGGGGGTTGAACTCAGGCCTTTGAGTGTGTCAGGCAAGCGCTTATTCTACTAAGCCATCTCCCCATCCCCTAAGCTGATTACAGGTGCTTTTAAAGCACTGAGCTATCTCGCCAGCCCCAAGTCTGAATATTTAAATCTGGATTAATACTATATTAAGTAGGCTTTTTTTTTAATTTTTTTTTTTTAATATGTGTGTGTGTGTGTGTGTGTGCGCGCGCGCACGTGGCCAGCTCAGCCCACCAGGGGGCGGGGCTGGCTGGCATGTGCTGGGGGATTGAACCGCGGTCCCTGTGCTTTGCTAAGCTTGTTCTAAGTAGGTGCTTTAGACCAACGAGCCATCCCACCAGCCCAACTATCCCCATTTTCAAGCTTTCAGGGCATGCCTGGGATCAAACCCTGGCTGCTGTGCTCTGCCTAAGCAGGTGCTTTAGTCTGCTGAGCTATCAGCCCAGCCCTACTATACTCAACCATCTTATGCAGAGGGCAGTGTGGTTCTTTTTTGGAGGGAAGGGTACCAGGAGCTGGACCCGGTGGAATTCACACTTGCCAGGCAGCTGCTGCACCACTGAGCTAAATTCCCCAGTCCTTCAGTGTGGTTCTAACTACAAGAATGATGTTTTACTGTTTTGTGAAAGGGCCATCATGACAGTGCACTTAACACAAACAGTGTGTAGCCTCTAGTGTTTACGTGTTTTGTGTATACAGCTCTGGTGGAAAAGGTGATTGTCAGCTCCGTTTCTCAACGAAACATTAAATGACAATACAGTATAGTTTGAATGTAAGGGTGTTTATTTTCTCATATGAAAGAAAAGTAGGAATTTCTAAGGAGTAACAACTTTTAAAAAATACATTTTTCTTTTAATAGATTATGAACCTCAGACTATTTGTGAGCATCTCCAGTACTTGTTTGCTTTGTTACAAAACAGTAACAGAAGATATATTGACCCATCAGGGTTTGTTAAAGCCCTGGGCTTAGATACTGGGCAACAACAGGTAAGACTTTTTTTTTTTTTGTCTTTTTGTCTTTTCATTTTGAGAGAGGGTCTTGCTTGTTCAGGCTGGCCTTGAGCTCACTTTGTAGCCTGGGTTGGTCTTGAACTCAGAACAATCCTTCTGACTCAGTCTGCTTAGTGCTGGGATTACAGAAGACCAAAGGAAAAATTCAGGGATGCTCAAGTGTTCCTTACAATGTCTGTAAATGAAGATGTAACATGATCCTTTGGAAAATTTTTTATACCTGAATTATTTGAGCTTTTATTTACTAACTCATAAATAATGCATTATTCTCCTCAGTGTTTCTGAAAACTGACCTGTGGATACAGAGTGGGCCAATATACCTGTAGTCTTCATGCAAAAAATGCTGTGTTTGAAGTGCAGATAGTTTATGGAAGATTGATTGCTATTTGTTTTAGATATTGAGAAGCAAGGTACAATTTTTCTTTCTCATTCATCTACACCTGTAGGATGCTCAGGAATTTTCAAAGCTGTTTATGTCTCTGCTGGAAGATACTTTGTCCAAGCAGAAAGATCCAGATGTACGGAACATTGTTCAACAGCAGTTCTGTGGTGAATATGCTTATGTAACTGTGTAAGTAGTTCAGCTTTTTCATGGTGTGGTTGGTTAAACTTGATCATTGCAGCTGCGCCCGTCCAGGTGTTGGGAGGCATGTTTAGGTGAAAGCTTGCTGTTTCATTTATGGCTATGTAGAGTGAGTTGCAAAAATAAGATTGAAGCCATCTAGAATATTAAACATAGACAATCTCTTTGAAAATTTCCCAGGTATTGAACATAGGAGTCTTACCAGGCACTTGAAGTGTTTTTTTTTTTTTTTTTTTGATGGAACCAAGAATTGAACTCAGGCCCTTGAGCTTGGCCAGTCAAGTGCTTATTCTACTGAGCCATCTCCCCAGCCCCAAGTTTTTGTTTTAATAAGCAGTATAAAGTTTTGGGCAACCAACAGTTTTTAATTTTTTTTTTTTTTTTTAAGTAGGGTCTCACTATGTAGTCCGTGCTGGCCTTGAACTTGTGACAATCCTTCTGTCTCAGCCTTTCCTGTGCTGGGATTACCGGCACATACCAACTAAGATTATAAATGCTTTCCCCTCATTTCTGTAGGGTATAATAATATACAATGTGATTGCTTTTTTCATTCTGACCTTAATTTTATCACTCTCTTTTATTGTAGATGTAATCAGTGTGGCAGAGAATCTAAGCTGTTATCAAAGTTCTATGAACTGGAGTTAAACATCCAAGGCCACAAACAGTTAACAGACTGTATCTCAGAATTTTTAAAGGTATTTGAATCTCAGTATATCTATTGGTTTGTTAATAAATATTCTGTATGGTATTTTTAATTATAGTGAATCCATTATTTTAGCATTTGTGGTGTAAGAACTATTGATTGAAAAGAAACTAAAGTACTGCAGCAGGTTGCATCTGAATTTTTGGCAATTCCAACTTAAAAAATTAAGTGTATGAGTAGTAGTAATGAAGGCGATCTTAGGTCTGTTAGCATAAAACTAATTTCTTTTCATGTAATGAGAATTGTATTGCTCTAAATGCAAATCTTTTTTTCTTTTTGTGTTACCAGCAATTGAACTGAGGACCTTGAACTTGCTAGACAGATGCTTAGGCCACTGAGGTAGCTCTTCAGCCCACAGAAAATTTTTACATCAATGTTTGTCATAACCTGTTCCACTTTAGTTTCTGCTTGTGTAGCTTTCTGCAAGTCTAGAAGTGGTTCCTTTTGTTTGAGTGCTATCAAGTATGAACAGACACATAGATAGCATTACAGTTTGATACACAGCTTCCTGTCAAATTTTTTAATATATTTCGTACAAGGGTCTACAGGGTCTCATTACATAGATGGGATTGGTAGTGATCCGTCTGTTCTCAGCCTCCCAAGCTCTTGGATAACAGGCATGCGCCACAACTGCCCAGTCTTAGTCACCATCTCAGTGCACACTGGGGGCAGGATTGGCACAGCTCTCTGGGGATCGAAACCTGATCTTTAATCAGCTGAGCTATCTGGCTGGGCCAGTCCAAATATTTTGTACTTGTGCTCTTAGCTTATCTGTTACCATACTTGAAGCAATCATCTGTTGACTTTATTCATCTAAATACTTAGCGTGTTTGTACGAGTACCATTTGAGCTGTCGGGAGGACAGAAAGATAAAGTATACCTCTGGGAAATGGTAGTGCAGTCTTGTGGGTACCAGGGAAGGTCAGTAGAATACATTTGTATGAAATGCATAGTGTGTCCGCGACCTGAAGTGCTGTGAGAGGAATAAAGCTGACTACAGGCTGGGGAGGGTGAGATGGAGAGGTGGTGCTATTGGAAGTGTAAAAGAGTGAGCCATTCAACATGGGAAGAAGAGTGTTCTGAGCAGGTAAAACATTAAGTACAGAGCCTGAGGGAAAGATGTGCCTGTGGCTAGAGGCTAGCATGGCTGAGTATGCCTGAAGTGAACAAGGAAGGTTAGGATGCTAAAGGGCCATGGCAGACAGGCTGTGTGAGAGTCAGGGCTGTCTGAGGCTGACTTCTATTCTAAGTTGATTGAGAAACCAGAAGGGCTATAAGTGTGAGAGCAAAGCAGTTGCTTTAACAGGACAGTGGTGTGTGCCATTTTAAAAATTGGTTGGACTAAGGGCAAACCAAAGGGTGCATGGTAGCCTGGCATTAGTCAGCTAACTCTTGGAGGAGCTGCATAACTAATGCTTGGCTCTAGGCGGGGAGATTGTTCCGTGGAATAAGTGCTTTCTTGGCAAGCGCAAGGGCCTGAGTTCAATCCCTGGTTCTGCAAAAATAAATAAATAAATAAATAAATAAAATAATGCTTGGCTCTTAGATACATATTTCCAAAGAAAAGGTAATAAAATGTGTGTACTGAAACTAAGGATTACTGAATTTTGTGGGCCGACAAGGTAAAAGAATGAAGTTAACATCACTGGAGGAAGCAGGCTGGGGAAAATTCAGGGTGGGGGTAGCTCCGTGTAGAGCACTAGCAGGCACCACAAAAAAAAAAAAAAAAAAAAAAAAAAAAAAAAACCTTTTGGCTTTGAGCTTGTTCCCTTGGAGTAGTGAAGTTTAAGGGAAAGGAGTGAAGCCTTTAACATCCAAAAGAATGCAGGGCGTTGGGGACATAGCTCGGTGGTCTAAGTGCTTCCCTGGCAAGTACAAGGACCTGAGTTTGATTTCCTGTACCGCATGCCATGCCACCCTAGACCTGGTGGTGCACGCCTGCCATCCCAGTGCTGGGGATACTGAGACAGGAGGATCTCAGTGTGAGTCCGAGTGTGAGTCCGAGCTGTGTAGGAAGACCCTGCATCAAATAAATACATAATTCTAAAAGGGCCAGGTACTGAACCCTTAAGTGATGAGGGAGATAGGAGCAACAAAGGCAGCTCAAGAGAAAGTACCAGTGAGGTAGGGATGGTGTAGAGGAGTGTGATATCAGGGAAGACCATTGAGGAAAGTGGTGGTTCGAGTACTGCCTATGACTTTGAACAAAAGCTACCAGAGAAGGGGGGGGGGGAGGATTAAAATCTCTTGTCAGCTATTGCATTGGATTTCTCTGTTAGCTTTTAGCTCATAAATGACTCATTTTAAACAAGCATACACATTACACATCTCCATGTAGTTTTGTTTTTGGGTGGGGGGAGGTGTTTGGTACCAGGAATTGAACAGGCCCTTGCTCTCTCAATTGAACAGGCTGAGCTCTCTCTCCAACCCTCCATGTAAAGTGTGCTTATCTTTTCTTTAGTCTAGAATTAGTTTTACATGAAAGCATAGATTTTGGAAATAGGCACCTTGAATTAAGTAGTATTGTGTGTATTTGATTGTGTAACAGCCAAGAAGTACCTGTGAGCGTTGGTGAAGGAATTTGAACAGTTTGGGAGGGGGCTAGTTATAAAATTAAACCTTGTAAGTTTTTAAATTTGTCCTGAATCTTCCACCCTTTGCTTTCCAAAATTAATGTGTCTTATTCCTGATTAGGAAGAAAAATTAGAGGGAGACAATCGATACTTTTGTGAGAACTGTCAGAGCAAACAGAATGCTACAAGAAAGATCCGGCTTCTCAGCCTTCCTTGCACTCTGAACTTGCAGCTAATGCGTTTTGTCTTTGACAGGTGAGTCTGTAGAAGCAGTAGGGCTTGCTGTTCACAGCGGAGTAAAATGGGCAGCTTTGCCACAGACAGGTGGAATACGCTGATTAGAATTGGGTTTTTTTTTTGTTGTTGGTACTGAGAATCAAATTTAGGACCTTGTGCTTGCCAGGCAGGCGCTGTGCCACTGAGCTATATCCCCAGCTGATTAGAACTTGAAACTACATTTAAGAAAGTTATAGTGCTGGTGAGATAGCTCAGTGGTCTAAAGCACCTACTTAGAACAAGCTTAGCAAAGCACAGGGACCGCGGTTCAATCCCCCAGCACCACATGCCAGCCAGCCCCGCCCCCTGGTGGGCTGAGCTGGCCACACACATACACAAATTTTTTAAAAAAAGAAAGTTCTAGAGGAAGCCTGCGATTTTGAGATGTCAGTATTACATAATTTCATCATAACTACTAAGCCAGGTACACAATGGAGAAATGGAAAAGTAGGGAATTACTAAAACTTGCCAGGAACTGAATTACCTTGACATTTATTATGTATTTGAAGTAGTATGAATTTGTACTTTTTCAATATTTGCGCAAGTATTTGTGAGAGCATATCTTCAATTTCATAATTAAAGTCAAGACAATTTTACATTTTCATGTGCTCTGTGATTCTGGAAATAGATTTTTTTCATACCTTTTAAACTTTTTTTTTTGGTGGAACTGGTGATTGAACTCAGACTTTGGGCTTGCTAGGGAAGCGCTTATTCCACTGAGCCATCTCCCTGGCCTCCCTTTTAAACTATTGAATATTGTTGGCAACATAAAATTGTATTGATAAAGCATGTATGTTTTATACATTTATTTATTTATTTATTTATTTATTTATTTATTTATTTATTTATTTTTTGCGGAACCAGGGATTGAACTCAGGCCCTTGTACTTGCCAGGCAAGCACTTATTTTACTGAGCTATTTCCTGGCCCGAGCATGTATGTTTTTACACAACATTGTTCAGTGAAATCCAGCTCCTATTAAAATGATTAAAAACAGTGAAATCCCAGTACTGTGGATCCTGAGGCAGGAGGATCACCACCAGCTTGAGGCCAGCCTGGGCTACATAGTGAGTTCCAAGGCCAGCCTAAACTGCACAGTGTTTTTTTTTTTTTTCTTTCTCTGTTGCTCTGTCTCTGTTTCCCTGTGTCTCTCTGTCTCTGTTGCCCTGTGTCTCTGTCTGTCTCTCTGTCTCTGTCTGTCTCTATCTCTGTGTGTCTCCTCTCTTCTCTCTCCCCTCTCCCCTGTCTCTTCTCTTCTCTTTTTCACGGTACCAGGGATCGAATTCAGGACCTTGTGCTTGCAAGGCAGGCATTTATGCCACTGAGTTATCTCCTGGCTTTATACAGTGAAATTTTAAAATTGGGGAAAAAAAAATCCTGAAGAGTTCACACATTGTTCCTGATTGTGTCCTCTTAATTAGGCAAACTGGACATAAGAAAAAGCTGAATACCTACATAGGCTTCTCAGAAATTTTGGATATGGAGCCTTACGTGGAACATAAAGGTATGTTCAAGACTGATCTACTTGTGATGAATATACAGTAGCAGTTTACTGCTATTTCTGTTTGCTAATCTCTGGGGAAAGGGGCTTCTCAGGTGAAACAAGATGTTTCAATTTTCTTATTTATTTATTTTTTATTTTATTTATTTATGTGTGTGTGTGTGTGTGTGGCCAGCTCAGCCCACCAGGGGGCAGGACTGGCTGGCATGTGGTGCTGGGGGATTGAACAGTGGTCCCTGTGCTTAGCTTAGCTTGTTCTAAGTAGGTGCTTTAGACCACTGAGCCATAAGATGTTTCAATTTTCTATGAGTAAAATGTTTCAATTTTCTATGAGTAAACATGTAACAAAGTTAAGATAGTTCTTTAGTATCTATAGTGAAAGATAAAAAATGAAATGGTATTTTACTCTTTGAATCCATATTGTTGTAACTTTAATCTGTCATTGAGTTCTAGCCTGCCTCTCTTTGTGTCCTTTATTAGCGCGGGAGAATGAATTTGGGGCCTCATTCTTTGCATTTATTTTTATTTATTTTTTTGCGGAACCGGGGGTTGAACTCAGGCCCCTGCGCTTGCCAGGGAAGCAATTATTCCACTGAGCCATCTCCCCAGCCCCTAGGGGCCTCATTCTTGCTAAGCATGCATTGTACTAATGAGGCTGCATTTCTTATTGTTGTATTTTAAGGGAAGGTTCTACAGGGTGCTCAGGGTCTCACTACTAGATTGGACTCCTAGTGATCCGCCTGGTTATAGTCTCCCAAGAGCTGGAATGTGCCACCACACCTAGTCTCAATTGCCATGTCAGGGCACCCCCGGTATGGGGCCAGTAGGGCAGGAACCAGGATAGAGCCCCCAGCCTGCTTGCAGGCGCTTTAATCTACTGAATTATTTGGCTGGCCCTTATACTTCTTCCTGCTATCAACATGTAAGAAGTATTTTTGAGAAACACTGAGGCAATAATTATGCAATAATTATTCATATTTATGTCCACAGACACACCCTAGAATGCAATGTCAGGGTTGTTTTTTGAGGTTCTCACTATGTAGCCCAGGCTGGCCTTGAATTTGGTAGTCCTCTTAACCTGCCTCCCAAGGGTTGGGATTACAGGTGTATGTCACTACACCTGGCTATGTCATAATTTCTACATGAAATAATTACTATTGAATTCACTTTTTTTTCCCCCCCTGGGAACCGGGAATTGAACTCACACCCTTGAGCTTGCCAGGGAAGCATTTATTCCACTGAGCCATCTCCCTGGCTCCTTTTTTTTTTTTTTTTTTTAAATAAAGACTCACTTTGTGTAGTTAAGGATAGCTTTGAACTATGTAGCCAGGCTAGAAATGTCCTCCTGCCTCAGCCTCCAGGATGCTAGAATTACAGGCAGGTACCAACCACCACATTGTACCATCACATCCAGCTACTATTTTATTCTTTTAGCAGTTTTCACAAGGAGGCTTTTCTTTTTTTAATTTTTTTTTTTTTTTTTTTTTTTTTTTTTTTTGCTGGTACAGGATCTCACTACATACAGAGCCCGGTTTTGGGCAACCCTGGAGCTGGCACAGCATAACATGCTGTACCAGGTTATCATACACGGGTTCTTGCTCTTGCTAGTCTCTTGCTTATACTGCCAAGCTATCTTCCTAGCTAGCACAAGGCTTTTTGTACAGAGGAAAACGTATTGTCCTTAGCTGTGCATGTTGGTACATACTTGTAATTCTAGAATTTTGGGAGGCTGAGGATTGTATGTTCAAATCCAGCCTGGGTTACGTAGTGAGATTAAGGCTAACCCAAACTGCATAGGGAGATCCTATCTTAAAAGTTTCTCCCCCAAAGGCTGAAACATTGTATGTTTAGCTGTTCATTATGCCAGTATTCTAGAGTTGTTTTTTTGTTGTTGTTGTTTTTTGTTTTTTGTATTTAGAGCAACGTCTACAGGGTCTCACTATACAGATCACTTGTAGTAATTCTCCTGCTTTTAGCTTCCCAAGTGATGGGATTACAGGTCCGCGCCACCACACCCAGGCTCTATCAGTCTCTCAGTGTGCCCAGGGAGCCGGGCCCTCACAAGCACGGCAGGCCAGGGATCGTCCCCTGTGTCTGCCTAAGCAGGCACTTTAATCATCTGAGCTATGTGGTCAGCCCTAATATGTATATTTTGGTAAACCCCATGTATAATATAATCTGTGACCTGTTATCCCAGTGGTTGGGAACTTGGGTTAGGAGGGTCACCTTTAGTTTAAGGTTTGTCTTACTATGTTCAAAGATAGCCTGCACTACATACTGGGACTCTGTTTCAAGGAAACAACACAGGCTACACCACCTAAAGAAATCCAAGGTGGAACTGATCTAGATTGTTACTAACACCTCTTCTGTCTTCCATTTTTCTTCCTATGCCTCCTTTTTTTCCCCCCAGCTTACCAAGAGAAAATTGGCATGATCTTTAAGGATGTACAATCTAATAGTGTGTACATTTTTGAAAATGTTTTTTTTGTGTGTGTGTGTGTGTGTGTGTGTGTGGAACCGGGGATTGAACTCAGACCCTTGCACTTGCCAGGGAAGCACTTACTCTACTGAGCCATTTCCCTGGCCCCAAAAATGATTTCTTTTTTTTTTTTTTTCTTTTTAATATTTATTTATTTATTTAGTGTGTGGCCAGCTCAGCCCACCAGGGGGCAGGCGGGCTGGCATGTGGTGCTGGAGGATTAAACCGAGGTCCCTGTGCTTTGCTTGGCTTAGCTTGTTCTAAGTAGGTGCTTTAGACCACTGAACCATCTCACCAGCCCCCCAAAAATGATTTCTGATGGGTATGGAGCTAAAGTGTTACCTTACAAATATACCCTTTGCCCATGGCCTACATACCATATCTAATTTTTGTTTTTATTTACAACGCAGGAGATTGAATCCAGGACCTTTGTTTTATTTTATTTTATTTTATTTTATTTTTTATTTTTATTTTTTTTTTATTTTTTATTTTTTTAACATTTATTTATTTATTTAGTGTGTGTGTGTGTGTGTGTGGCCAGCTCAGCCCACCAGGGGGTGGGGTTGGCTGGCATGTGGTGCTGGGGGATTGAACTGTGGTCCTTGTGCTCTGCCAAGCTTGTTCCAAGTAGGTGCTTTAGACCACTGAGCCATCTCGCCAGCCCCCGAATCCAGGACCTTTGCACTGTGCTGTGTCCCCAATTTTACTTTTCAGAGGCCCTTGCTAAATTTTGTGGGTTGGATTTGAGGCTCCAATCCTCTTGCTTCACCTTTCCAGAGTGCTGGGATACGGGGCTGGGCACGCCTGACCTGTATACCAGTGTTGAAAGCAGTTTGTATTAATGAACTTGACTCTTTCCCTCCAAAATATCTACCTTTCTCTAATTATAGTAACTTTCCATTTTACATTCATATTAATTTGTGCATATATATATATATATATATATATATTTTTTTTTTTTTAATAATTTTTTTTTTTTTTTTTTTTTGCCCAAATAAGGGGTTTTTTTTGGTCCACGCTGGCCTTGAACTCACAGTGGGAGTGTCCAGGGAGAAGGCTCAGTAGAATAAGTGCTTGCCTGGCAAGCTCAAGGGCCTGAGTTCAATCCCCGGTTCTGCAAAAAAACCCAAAAAACAACTCACAGTGGTGCCACAGCTTCAGCTTCCTGAGTGCTGGGATTCTAGTCCTGTAGCACCCCGCCCGGGTACTTTCCTTGAGTTTTGTAGTCTAGCCTGGCTTCACACTTGGAGCAATCCTCCTGCCTGCCTCACCATCTTGTGCTGGGATTATATCCATGTGCTATGGCACTCAGTGGGGTAATTAGTTCTGTAACAATATATAACACCTGTGTACCAATAGTTGGTTCTTGTGAACATAAGGCTCAAATAGTTTTCTGTGTTGCCAGGGTGCCGTTGAGTTAGGTCAGCTCCATTGAGTACCCAGACAGAATACTTGTTGCCACCAGCGTAATCGTAGAGGGAATGGACAGTGAATGATAACCTGCTCAAGAGAATGTATCGTCTCTAATAATTTGTGAAAATGAAATTTTGCTGTTGTATGCAATATGTTTTGAATTTTATCGGGTGTGTAAAAGAATTCTTTGGACTAAAAAAGACAAGGACTGTGGCTCAGTGGTAGAGCTCTTGCCTTGCATGAGCATGGCCTTGGGCTCAATCCCCAGCACCACAAAGAAAAAGAATTGTGTTTGGGACTATGCATTGTCACAGTATAAAAAGTATTGTTATCTACAATTTCTTTTCCCATTTTTCTCTGGCTCCAGGTGGGGCCTATGTGTACGAGCTCAGCGCAGTCCTCATACACAGAGGCGTGAGCGCTTACTCCGGCCACTACATCGCCCATGTCAAAGATCCACAGTCCGGCGAATGGTACAAGTTTAACGATGAAGACATAGAAAAGATGGAGGGGAAGAAATTACAACTAGGGATTGAGGAAGATCTAGGTAAAACCTTTAAGTTGTGAGTGCCCTTTTAAAATACAAATTTTTAAACCAGAAATACTTATATGTTACTGTGGCCCAGGAATGTTCCAGGCAATTACAGATATGTACATTACTTAAACACAAAATCATTGAATTATTTTTATTTATTTTTTTATATATTTTTTTAATTTTATGTGTGTGTGTGTGTGTGGCCAGCTCAACCCACCAGGGGGCGCGGCTGGCTGGCATGTGGTGCTGGGGGATTGAACCGCGGTCCCTGTGCTTTGCTAAGCTTGTTCTAAGTAGGTGCTTTAGACCACTGAGCCATCTCACCAGCCCCTGAATTATTTTTAAATAGTGTTAAATTTTTTGTTTTGTTTTGGTTTGTATCTTATGTTTTCAGGAAAGCGTGAAGGTAAATGATCAGTTTCCACTTACTAGGTTTATACTTCATAATGAAGGGGCAAACGCTGGCAATAAGCAAACAATGATGAATGCTTAACTATCTAACACAGTTTGTCTTTATGTTTTCTGATTTTTGTTTTTTTTGCTTTTTTAGACAAGAGTCTTTCTGTGTAGTACAGGCGGGGCTTGAATTTACTTTTTAGTCCAGGCTGGCCTCATACTCAGTGAGTGGTCTTCCTGCCTGAACCTCGCAAGCACTGGGATGGCAGGTGTGCATCACCTGGCCCAGTGGGACCCACTTTTTAGTCTAGGCTGGCTGGAACTAACTCTTGGGCATTCTGCCTGCCTCATCCTGCTCCATGGTGGTATAGAAATGTGTGCCACCCTGCGCAGAGCTAAGAGAACTTAGTCTTTCCCTGGGTCAGGAAATAGCTCCCTAAGGGAGTGTTGCCCTGAGAGACAGTGCCTCCTCTAGAGTGTGCGGAAGGCCCCTGGAAGCCTCCACCACTCTTGTGCTGAGGACTGTCATGTCATGTTTGGATTTTTTCTTTTGGTATTTAGTACAGGGGTTCACTACACAGATTGGACTCATAGTGATTCTCCAGTTTTCACTCTCCCAAACACTGGGATTACAGGCCCGTACCAGCATGCCCAGTCTCAGTTGCCATCTCAGCATGCCTTGGGGCCAGGGACTGCAGGGCTCACTGGGGCATCAAACCCTGGTTGCTGGGCGCTTCCTATGCAGGCACTTTAATCCGCTGAGCTGTCTGGCCAGCCCTGAAATTCCTCACATTTGATTGTTTAAATGTGGCTTTGTTTTTTCCTTGACATGGTCTTACCTTGTAATGTGAGCTATCCTTGAATGCTTTTGTTGATGCAGCCCAAGCTGGCCTCATGGTGATCTACCTACCTGAGCCTCTTGAGCTGGGATTATAGGTGTGTCCCACCATGCTGGACATGGGCATTCTTCTTTTAACTAGATAAGTTTTTGCGGAGCCAGGGATTGAACTTAGGCCTTTGTGATTGCCAGGCAAGCGCTTATTCCACTGAGCCATCTCCCTGGCCAGATAATTTTAATGTTTTGTTTGTTTGTTTGTTTGGTTTGGTTTTTGTGGAACCAGGAATTGAACTCAGGCCCTACACTTGCCAGGCAAGCACCTATTCTACTGAGCTGTCTCCCTGGCCCCTTTAATGTTAATTATGCTATCATAACCCAGCATGGTGGCCCTGTCTGAATCCCAGTACTTTTAAGCTTAGGTAGGATGATCACCACTAGTTTTTTTTGTTTTGTTTTGTTTGCGGAACCGGGGATTGAACTCAAGCCCTTGCGCTTGCCAGGGAAGCACATATTCCACTGAGCCATCTCCCCGGCCCTTTTTTTTTTTTTGTTCACTACTATTTTCAGTTCAGCCTGAGTTATAGAATCTTAAGTTAGTGAGACTTAAACAAAAAAATCATCTTGAAATGTGTTTTAAAACATTTGTCTTGGGGCTAGAGAGATGGCTCAGTGGTCTAAAGCACCTACTTGAAACAAGCTTGGCAAAGCACAGGGACCGCGGTTCGATCCCCAGCACCACATGCCAGCCAGACCCGCCCCCTGGTGGGCTGAGCTGGCCACACACACACACAATAAATAAATGTAATAAATATAAATAAATATTAAAAAAAAAACATTTATCTTGGAGCCCAACAGATAGTTCAGTGAACTAAAGCACCTGCTTAGGCAGAGTGCAGCAGCTGGGGTTTGACCCCTTGTGTGCTGTGTGGACAGGCCCTGCCCCGGGTGCATGCTGAGACTGCAGTTGAGATTGGGAGTGGTGGCGCACACATATAATTCAGTTTGGGAGGCTGAAAACAGGAGAATCTCTGAGTCAATTCTATGTAGTGAGACCCTGTAGATCCTGTACTAAATACATTAAAATTCTTTCTTGAACAGCTTGGTGAATTTTGAAAAATGTGTATAGTGTATACATGGACTGAGGAGATAGACGGGTAGCATAAGCACCTGTCTGGTAAGCACAAGGGCCTGAGTTCCCTTCCCGGAACCCACCCCCTCAAAAAAGTGTATATTAATGTAACCTGATTAATTCATGGAATATTTCTATAATTCCATAAGGTTTCTGTAACCTCGCAGTCAAAACCTCCATCTCCCAGAAGCATCCTCTATTCTGGTCCCTACTACCAGAGACTCATTTGAGGTTTCCATAAGTGGGATTATACAAGAATGCCAGTTGTTTATTCCTTTCCCTTTGGCTCCATATGGTCCTTTTGGCAACTCATGCTTACTGTTGGTTTTGTCAGTATTTAAAAAAAAAAAACAACAAAACAACTTAAGCAATATCCCATTTTATGAATAGAGTAGTTTTTTAATGCACATTGTAACAGAATATCATGGTTTTCATTTTCAGTGACAAATGTAGTAGGCTGGTAGCCCAGGCAGTTGGGCCAGTGGAACCTGCCTGTTATCTTCCTGTTCATGTACCATTCTTCACTAAGAATAAACTTAATGTAACTTTAAAATATGATGAACTGTGACTTGGTTTATATAGTGACTAGAACCACTTGGTACAAACACATCTGTCACTATTACCTGTCCTTTTACTAATAAAATTAATAAGCCACCCGATAGGACAGTCATGCTTGTTCAACTGGTAGTTCAAGCCATCCAACGAGACTAATTTAACTCCCTATTGAGAAAGTGCTAAGCAGCTACACATAGTGTCATTTATAACAAAATGTAAATATTCAAACTGCAGCATTACTCTTAAGTTTTAGAGTATTGAGTTCAAATACACATGTGTATTGAATTTAAATTTTTTTTTTTTAATTTTTTTTTTTTTTAATTATGTGTGTATGTGTGTGGCCAGCTCAGCCCACCAGGGGGCGGGGCTGGCTGGCATGTAGTGCTGGGGGATTGAACTGCAGTCCCTGTGTTTGCTAAGCTTGTTCTAAGTAGGTGCTTTAGACCACTGAGCCATCTCACCAGCCCCTTTTTATTTTATTTTATTTTATTTTTATTTATGTGTGTGTGTGTGTGGCCAGCTCAGTCCACCAGGGGGCGGGGCTGGCTGGCATGTGAATTTAAAAATATGTGGGTGCCGGGGAGATAGCTCAATAAAATAAGTGCTTGCCTGGCAAGCGCAAGGGCCTGAGTTCAGTCTCCGGTTCCACAAAAAAACAAAACAAAAAATAGAAAACACATATGTCACAAGCTGGGTGAGGTGGCAATCGCCTCATCACAGTCTTCCAGAGGTTAAGGCGGGAGGGTTGCTGCAAGTTCAGGTCAAGCCTGGGCTGCATGTTGAGCTTAAGGGCAGCCTGAACTTAGCAGTTCTTAGGCTCTCTATACATGGATAGATAGATAGATAGATAGATAGATAGATGGATAAGAGATATATAGTTGGCATGGTGGCACATGTCTATAATCTCATGAGACTGTACTTCCAAAAAAAGTTTTTACATCCTCATTGTATGTTCTTGTATTAAAAACACAGTAAAGGGGCCGGGGAGATGGCTCAGTAGGATAAGTGCTTGACTAGCAAACGCAAGGATCTGAGTTCAATCCCTGGTTCCACCAAAAAAAATAAATAAATAAAAATAAATAAAAAATAAATAAAAACACAGTAAAACAAGTGATTGTTTACCAGGCTACTCATATTAAGATAAAAAGATTCACAAAGTTACAGTCTCATGTTCTTAATGACTGTTAGTCTGATTAATTTTTTTAAGTGTATTTAGTACGGGTTCTTCACGTTCTCATTGCAGAGATCTGCCTTGTAGTGATTCTCCTGTTTTCAGCTTCTTAAGTGCTGGGATTACAGGCATGCCACCATTCCCAATCTCAGTCATATTCTTGAGCACCCTGGGGCTGAGGCAGCACAGCATGCTGGGGCTTGAACCCTGGTCCCTGCATCTGCCTAAGTGTGCTTTAATCCACCGAGCTATCTGGTCAGCCCTTGATTAATTTTTTAAAATCAGGACTATAGTAAAAGTCATTTCAGGAAGTGCAGTACGTGTCATCTTTTAACAATGAGATGTGGCAGGCAAGAGTGGCCCTCGGTACTTCATAATTGGATCTTTGAGAAAAATGTTTATGCTCCATTCTCTCCATAAATGAAGAAATTGTGATCATTTTAGTGAAATTGTGTTTTGATTTCTCTATCCCAGCAGAACCCTCCAAGTCGCAGGCCCGCAGACCCAAATGTGGTAAAGGGACTCATTGCTCACGAAATGCATATATGTTGGTTTATAGACTGCAAAGCCAAGAGAAGCCCAACACGACTGTGGAAGTTCCAGGTAATGTGCTTTTCAGCACAGCACCAGGCAAATATTTGAGAATGCCAGTGACAAGCACCAGATTGTACTTAGTATGACAGGTTGATTCCACATGACAAATGTGAAGGGGAGTGAATAATAATAATTACATTTGCTTTAAAATAGTGAATTTGAGAAATAAAAGAGCCTTTACTTCCATTTCTGGAGCTATTCCATTTCTTCTAAAGATGTTCAGTTGCAAAGGTAATCAGTATACTTAATGTCATCTAGTTCAGTTTATATGACGCAAAAGGTTGCACAGACCTAAAGATGGTTCTTGTCAGGTCACCTAGCTTGCCGGCATTCCAGGCTGTTTGTCTGGAAATGGTGCGTATCAGACCTTTGCTGGTCTGAGTTACTGGTGCCATGGACAGCTAGGCAGTGGGAGGAACAACTTAGGGTTGCTTAATTTTTTTTTTTTTTTTTTTTTTTTAGACAAATAACATAGAAGTAAGTAGGTGCCATCGAAGTCTTAGCTCACATGTCATAAGACTGAGATGCAGATAGAATGTTTTTCATATTTTCTTGTGAATAGCCTTTCTTCAAGAGCTGGTGGATCGGGACAATTCCAAATTTGAGGAGTGGTGTGTTGAAATGGCCGAGATGCGTAAACAGAGTGTGGACAAAGGAAAAGCCAAGCATGAAGAGGTTAAGGAGCTGTACCAAAGGTTACCTGCTGGAGCTGGTCTGTAAGATATTCCGGGACAGCACTGTTGCCATTAACTGCCTTGTTTGTTGTGTTCGCAAAAAATGTGTATGGACAAACTTTTCTACCCTTCCTCACAATCCACCAAAGGCAGTGTACATGCGATAAAATCACTGTGTAAAACAGCAATAACCTGGTGTGTAACATTCCAGATAACACTTACTACTGTGTACTTTTGAAAATGGGATGCTGTTAATAAATTATAAGGCTTAGCTTAGGTTAGCATTGTGCATATATGCATATGACTAGTAGATTTTTCCACTTTGTCTGGTACTGACTTGTTTCTAAGGACAAACCTGATTGGATGACAATGGGAGCAACTGGTCTGGTCTATTTTTGCATAATACCAACAGCCATACTTACTTAGTTTTTGATACATTCAGATTAATTTGAGACTTAGTATCAAGTGTTACGCATACGAATATAAAAACTATAGCTCCTCCCTCATTCTTAGAATTATTACGCATTCTTTTACTGTATATAGGTTTATCTAAGTGTCTTAAAAACCAACCAACCAACCAGTATTTTACATCTGATTTATCTGTGGTTAAAAGAAATTCTTTGTCATTTCACAGGCATGAATTCCCAATATTTAAGTCCTGTTTACCAAAGGGGCAATTTAGACCTAAGTTAGATAATAAATATTCAAGCATGATTGTACTTGTGGTTTTTGTCTTTTGATATCTTAATTTTTTATTACAGGTAAAATTTTAAACCAAAGATGACTGTAAATTGCTAAATATGTAAGCATAGCTCTTAGAAATTCTTTTTTTTAAAGGCTAAAGGTTTAGCTTCCTGGTAGACTGCATGACTAGCATGCTCAGGGCACTGGATTCAATCCCCAGCACTGCAGATGCCATAGATGAATGAAGGGAGGAATTCTTTCCAAATGTAGTCTTAATTTGATTCTGACCCTTTGTAAGTGCTATTCTAACTCTATTCAAGGATCCAAATTGTCCTAAAAAATTAGATTGAACCTAATTTAATAAGAAATGATTTGGAATTAGCCCATCATTCACATCTCAGTTTATATGCCTTTGTTCAGAGGAACTGGGGCCTAGGAATCTAGTTTCTGAAATTCTGATGCTGCTGTTGTTACTGTGCATTGAACCCAGGTCCATCCCACTGAGTTACAGCTACCGCCCTTTTGAAATATTTCCAAGGTAGTCTTGCTATAGGTTGCACAGGGTTTGAATTTTCAATCCTCCTGCCTTAGCCTCCCAGAGTGCTGAGATTACAGGCGTGTGCCACTGACGCCAGCTCTATTTTTTGAACTTTATCCAATTTCTTATTCTGGAGAAAAGAAAAAGATTGCATGGATCAAAGGAAACTGCTGCTCTCAGGGATGTTGGCAGATCACTTGCCTACTATGCACAAGACTTTTGGGATCCTAGTGCCTGACGAAGAAAGAAAAACAAATAGTGTTTTAGATAATATGGCCCAGTGACATCAATTCTGGGGCAAATTAGCACTGTGTTTTTGATGAGTTTTTCATTTAGTGTGTAAGAACTTGTGTTTGTATTCATAGAATATCTCTCTAATGTTTGTACTTTTATCAACTACTAACTTCATATTTTTGAATCTGCCATATAATTTCCATTGTGGCAAACCTGTGTTGTCCAATGATAAAATCTCAAAGGCATTGACCATAGTTTTTGGGGAGCCAGTTTTGATGATGCATTTTCTAGATCTTATTTTGTGAACATAAGCAACAGCCGCTTATCATGAAAATCTATCACAGGGAACATGGGTCCTTTTGGACCTTGATATCTTAAGTTGAGATGTCTCTTTTCTCTAATGTTTCAAATATTTTGATACAAAGATTGTCTCTATTTAGTGCTGGATTTATGCATCAGTACTATAAAATTTTGCTGCAAGTAGAGCCTTGTGCTCAACCCCAAGCCACCCTTCTGTGGGTCCTCTACCAAATATAATCTAGAAAATCTGGGACAGTGTTTGAATGAAGAGTATGATGTTTGGTAGAATTATGGACCCAGTCCCTGCTCTAATCTTTCCTCTGACTATAAAATATACACGACTTGTCTAATCTGTGCATTTTACATTGATTTCATAATTTAAAAACCGAAACAATTTTCACTTGGAAGTTTTTGGTAGCGCTCTACTGGGACTAGAAATTTCATGTTGAATTTATGCACTTATAAGTAACGTGCTATGAGTAACGTTGTTGCTCAGCAGGTCAGGATTACAGTCACCCTTGGGATTGCAATTCTGGGAGCTGTCACTGGTGAGAAGTTCCTTAGCCACATTCAATTCCCTACATAGCTTTCCTTATAAGAATGGGACTGATAGACTTTAATGTTTCAGTTAACACTGACAGGCACTGACCTCTTACTCACCCTTCCAAAGCCACTGGAGAAATGCCAACCCCTAGGGAATTACTATTGAATGTTGCTGTTTCATAATCCTATTTTCTGACCTTTGAGAGTGTGCAGATGATTCCAAATTTTAATTTGTGTTTTACTTGCTGAGACTTATTTGTTCTCAGGTAGAGAGTATTTATCAGAGCTTTTCAGATACTCAGTGTGCTCTGGCCCTGAACTTTAAACAGGAAAAGTGGCAAATAAAGCGTGGAGAGGTGTTATGAATACAATTAACCATACCATGAAGTACTGTAAGATGCCACAACCTTGTTTCCTGTACTGCTTCATAGGGTTTCCTCTTATATACGTGTTAATGTATAATTAACCTTCTGTATCTCTTTTCTTCCAAAAAGCTCAAAATGCTTCACATATCTTATCTTTTATACTCAACAACATCCCTGTGAGGTAGGTAGAAGGCAGGTATTACTATCTTGATTTTACAGATAAAAAGACCTGAAGCATAGAGTTTACAGTGACTTGCTGGAGTTCAGCTCTTCCAGGCAGAATGTGGAGTAGACGCTGTTCTCTCTTTGGAACTCTGTGAGGCTCCTTCTAGCTTCCCAGTTGAGCGCTCTTGGATGTACTTTTTAGCACAGATACTGGATAGGAGTTCCAAACAGGTTTTGTTACAATTGAAATGCCTTTCATTACAATGAAAATGGGGAGTTTTCTAGACGTGTAACTCTCAGTGTAAAGTGGGTCCAGATATTCTTTACACTGAAGTGTCTGTCTCAACGCATCAGAAGTAGTGCACAGTACAAATCCATAAATTCAACCTCTGTATGTTTTCTTCTATGTTTTATGCTGGGACTCACTGGAGATCTTTGTAAGTAACCAAAGCTGTCCCTTTATCTTTAATTTTGGCTTTTAGAGAACTCTGGAATTCCCTCTACTAAGATTAAAACCCCTTTTGAATTGTTTTTGTCTTTTCATTTTTGCAGCTTCAAAATAGGTAGTAATTCCATTCTAGGGTGTTTCATATCAGGAACTATTTAAAATAGGTTACTTTCTTGACTTAACGAGGTAGCTAGCTCATGGCATGGAATTGGGTGGGGGAGCAAATACTTCATTTAGTTCTCATTGCTGGACATGGTGGCACACCTGTAAAGGAGGCTGAAGCAGGAGGGTCACTGAGAGCATAATGTCAGGTGGAATGACACAGCTTGTCTCAACAGCAAGAAGAAATTAATTTGACATGATCATTTTGGATGCAGAAAAAAAAAGTTCAGTGTTTAAAATGGGCAGAAGTGTTGTGGTTTCAGCTGAGTAGTTTAGTTTTAAATGTCAATCTCATTTGAGCTTTCCATTTTAATTTTCAGAAGTATATGAAATGTTTGTGGACAGTGTAAATGAAAATAATTTATGACATAAATTTACTAGGAGATGAGGTGGTGAGTCTCGAGCCAGTGTAGAGCACGGCTGGTAGTCAGCAAGCATGGTGCCTTAATCAAAGCCCTGCTGTGCTGTCAGGCTAGACACTTCTCTCTGTAGACAATTTTTGTAGAATGTGGTTAATAATACCAGCCTGTCCTATCGGGCATTGTGCTGTGCACAGACCCTGGCTCAGTGGCTTTCTGTCACACTCATCATAAACATCTTCCAACAGTGATTCTTGTGATTCTGCTAACTGTGGTTAGAGTTTGCATCGTATGAGAGAAATGACTGTCACTTGGTCCCCAAACTGTAAAAATACATAGTTTCTTTTCATCACTTTTCTTTCCCAGAGCCCTATGAGTTTGTCTCTCTCGAATGGCTGCAGAAGTGGTTGGATGAATCGACACCTACCAAGCCTATTGATAATCATGCTTGTCTGTGTTCTCACGACAAACTTCATCCTGATAAAATCTCAATTATGAAGAGAATTTCTGAATATGCCGCGGACATCTTCTACAGTAGATATGGAGGGGGTCCAAGACTAACTGGTAAGTCAAAATGTTTACTTCTGATGAAAAAGAGCGATACAAGTTGAGGGAGGTGATGCACACCTGGGGCACACCTTGGGAGGCGGAGGCACAAGGACTGCCATGCTTTGGAGGCCAGCCTGGGCTATATACTGAGTTCAAGACCAGCCTGAGCTTCATGGCAAGACCTTATCTCTGAAAACAAAAGAAAAAGCAATGCCTGAAGTCTTCATCAAGGGGCCGGGGAGATGGCTCAGTAGAATAAGCGCTTCCCTGGCAAGCGCAAGGGCCTGAGTTCAATCCCCGGTTCCACCAGACAAAAAAAAAAAAGTCTTCATCATTTGTTCTCCATGAGTGGGCTTCATGGAGACTTGATCTGATTTTTTTTTTTTTTTAATTTTTATTTATTTGTGTGTGTGTGTGTGTGTGTGTGGCCAGCTCAGCCCACCAGGGGGCAGGGCTGGCTGGCATGTGGTGCTGGGGGATTGAACCGCAGTCCCTGTGCTTTGCCAAGCTTGTTCCAAGTAGGTGCTTTAGACCACTGAGCCATCTCACCAGCCCCTTGATCTGATTTAAATCCTGGTGATTAGATGAATGTTGGTCTTCCAAAAAAATGATTTACTGAGTAGAATATAAGGAAAGGATGCTATTCAGAGAAGGTTGATTGTTGACACAGACTCTCCTCCCCCAGTATCTGTAATATGACTTTTTAAAGAAAAACGGTGGCTTGCCCTTTTCAAAGAATTCAGACCTCCGTTGATTCCCGTTCTGGTTCCTCCAGGTTAATTGGGATTTCTTAATGTTTAGCATGCAGATTGCTATTTACTTTATAAACAGAAGTTGTAGATTCTAGATTCTATCTTGAGTACATACAGCCATATATAACCAAAAAGTATCCATGGTCTATTTAGGGCTAGCTGTCTTTTATGTGGTGTTTTTGTTTCCTTTTCTCCAACGTTTTTGGTACAGGGTTTCACTGCATAGCTTGGCCTTTGTAGTAATCCTGTTTTCAATCTCTGCAGCACTGAGATTATAGTCATGTCTTTCTGGTCAGCGGGCCTGTAGGCGGGCCAGCAGGGCATGTGGTGCTAGGGGTGGAGCCCTGGTTCCTGCACTTGCCTAAGCAGGTGCTTAGTCTGCTGAGCTATCTCACTGGCCCTTTAACCTTTTTATTATTAACGAATATGATTCTTAAATCTGTAAAGGCAGCTATGAAAATTCCGTGTTTCCATCACCATATGGCCATACTACTTTCTCATCCTATATAACTTACCTGTTAAAATTTGTACTGAGATGCGTGTTCAACCCTTCTTAAGGTTTGCTCTGTAAATTTATGCTCCAGATTCACAGTAAATGATGCAATGGGAAGGTCTTTCACGTGATCACATCTTAATGATTTTTAGAGCATCTATGCCTTTTTATTTATTTTTTATTTTTTTTAATTTTTTTTTAACATTTATTTATTTATTTTGTGTGTGTGTGTGTGTGTGTGTGTGTGTGTGTGTGTGTGGCCAGCTCAGCCCACCAGGGGGCGCGGCTGGCTGGCATGTGGTGCTGGGGGATTGAACCGCGGTCCCTGTGCATTGCCAAGCTTGTTCCAAGTAGGTGCTTTAGACCACTGAGCCATCTCTCCAGCCCGTCTATGCCTTTTTAGTCTTGCCTTTCAGTTTTCCCTTTTAATGTTCTGTGCTTCGAAGATCACTTCCGTATGAACATCCACATTTATGGTCAGTAGTATTCTTGACTCTCCAACTTTAATTATGTGATTGCCATCTTGTAAAGCCTTTATCTAAACTTTATCATATTGAACCTTATGGCAGTGTTTTAGCACAATATATATAGTATTTCTTTTTTGGTGCAGATGATCTTTCTACGTTCCAACTAATTTTGGATGTATTAGCATTTTGCTCTATTGTCATTTTGTGAGGTTATGTTAGAATTTGTCTCTTTTTGAAGTACTAGTGCACTCTGCTATCAGGAAGTCTGTGTAAATGAAGCATTTATTTTCTTTCTCCTTCAGTGAAGGCATTGTGTAAGGAGTGTGTAGTAGAGCGCTGTCGTGTGCTTCGCCTGAAAAACCAGCTAAATGAAGATTACAAAATGGTTAATAATCTACTGAAAGCAACAGGAAAGGGGTATGTTACGCATCATACATTGCTAATGCTACATTAAAATTTTTAAAAAGCAGCTACTAAGCCACTTGTTATATGCTGCACAGAGATTGTTGAGATATTTAAGAAAGGTGAAGTGTATGATAAAGCCACATTGAAAGTCAGTCTTAACAGAATATTTTTTCTTATGGCACAATGAAGGTTGAGTCAGTGTTTGTTACATTTTATCCAACAGAGAAGAGGCAGAATGTAGATTTATGGCCATAATTCAGGTGGCATGAGCCTGTGCTCTAGCATGGAGCCATGATGTTGCAAAAACATCACGGATATGGGCTGGTGAGATGGCTCAGTGGTCTAAAGCACCTACTTAGAACAAGCTCAGCAAAGCACAGGGACTGCGGTTCAATCCCCCAGCACCACATGCCAGCCAACCCCGCCTCCAGGTGGGCTGAGCTGGCCACACACACAAAAAAATAAATAAATGAATAAATAAATAAATAAATAAATAAATAAAAAAGATTTAAAAAAAAATCACGGATAATGGCAAGAGAGTGGGTGCCCATTAGGAAAGCTGAACAGGGAGCTCAGTGGAACCCCTCCCCCCCACCAAGCGGGGATTGAACTCAGACCCTTGCACTTGCCAGGTGAGCGCTTATTCTACTGAGCTATTTCCCCGGCCCCTTCAGTAGAATTCTTGACCCAAAATCTCCAGGCCATGTGGAATGTGCCAAACCCTCTCCCATGGAATATTTTTGAGCTCAGGAATTGATGGGACTTACCATATCTGGGTTTAATTTAATCTTACCTAATAAAGATGAACACAATTGTTTGATTCTACAAACAACCTCCTGATTGCCTAGCACGTTCATGGGGTATATGTGTTTGTCTGAGCATTGCTGTGCCAATTTTTACTTTGTTTTTTTATTTTTTAATTTTTTGGAAGTGGGGATTAAACTCAGGCCCTTGTGCTTGCCAGGCAAGTACTTATTCTGCTATTCTGCTTAGCCATCTCCCCGGCCCCTGCTGTGCCAATCTTAAATTACAGCTATAACATGCACATGTAATCTTAAATTATAGCTATAACATACTGTAATCCCAGTATTCTGGGAGATTGAGATGAACAACCGCAAAATTCAATTCTAGATACTTTAGTGACTTAGTGAGATTCTGTTCAAAGATTTTAAAAAGGGGGAGCTTGCTGTGTAGCTCAGAGGTCTTAGCTTTCCACAAGAGGGTGGGATGTACCACATGTAACTGTGGAAGAGTAATCAAGTGAAGAGAGGTGCCCCTTTAATTGGTGTTGCTGGTATGAGTGACTGTAAATGATTGAGAACAGGATGAGGTTTAGACCAGCTACAAAATATTAGATGCTTTCTAATGTCATAACCTGGCTGCTTATTACCCCATTAATTCAACAAACAGATTTTGGCTGATCTGGCTGCCTTTGTGACTGTCCTTTTTTTTTCTTTTTTCTGTGGGGATTGAACTCAGGCTCTTGCGCTTGCCAGGCAAGCGCTTATTCCACTGAGCCATCTCCCTGTGACTGTCCTTTCCCCTCCTTTTTTTTTTCTTCATCAGTTAATGTATTTCTCTGTCAAAGAGGACAAGCTTCCCAGATAGATGGACTTTTTTTTCTTTTTGAGACAGTGCGTGCTGTGCAGTTCAGGCTGACCTTGAGCTCACTTTGTAGTCCTCAGCCTCCCACGTGCTGGTAGTACAGCTGTGCGCCACCATGCCCAGTGGATGGACTGTTATGCTAAGGGTACGTGAGTAGGTGCCCTCCCCTATGAGACTCCACACGAGAGCTCAAATTGTTAGACCACATGCAGTCCACTAGTGAGAGTAAAAGTTGGCCACAACCAGGAAGTGGGTTAAAAAAGTTGTGTGAAAAGAAAAAGAAACTGTGTGTATAGTAGGTGATCTTGCAGTTTGTTTTGTCTGTGGTCTTTCCAGAGATAAAAGGAAGAGTGTTAGTAAACATTTCTGTAGGATGTAACATTCTTTTCTTCCACAGCAATGATGGATTTTGGGTTGGAAAGTCATCCTTGCGGAGTTGGCGCCAACTCGCCCTAGAACAACTGGATGAGCAAGATGGAGATGCAGACCAAAGCAATGGGAAGATGAATGGAAACACCTTCAACAAAGGTAACCTGAGGGCTGGAAATTTACCATGAAGCTTAAAGTTTTTGTCTCTGTTTTGCACCTGCCCATGTAATTACAAAGAATTTTTATCACATCAAAAGCTCCAAAAATACCTCCAGGGAAATAAAATAATATGTTTAAGCTGTTGCATCAGCAAAGAACTTAACAGCTCCCACATGGAATTCTCCGTCATAACCAGTCATCCTTCGGCTCAGGCTCTATCTAAATAAACATAAAATTAATGTCAATTCTTGTCTCATTTACAAGTTTTAAGGCTGAATCTGCTGCAAACGCAAGTGTATTGTGAGCTCGGCATTGGCACACACTGACAGGCCCCCTTTCTAGTGCAGCATTGTGCCCTTGGCCCTTATCCATGAGGGAAGGCATTTGTGAGTAATAATTTTCCTTATAAGCTTTTTGGCAATGCATGAGGTACCAGAAGCCCTGCTTTAGGATGAAAAATGATATTGTAAATTAACTACTAAATTACCCTTAGAAACCAAATTTTTTTTTTTTTTTTTTTTTTCTGGAACGAGGGGTTGAATTCTGGTCCTTTCGCTTGCCAGGCAAGTGCTTATTCCACTGAGCTATCTCCCTGGCCCCTAAAATTTTAAGGCACAAGAAGAAATTGATGCATTAAAATTATTTCAAGATGTGAAATAGAGGACCTGGGAATAAAGGCTAGTGTTAGATACTAGGTAGCATGATCCAGGCCCTGGCCCCAGGACCACAAACAAACAAGGTTTACGAGGCAGATCAGTTTTGTGATTGGAGCAGCTTTACTAATTCACGGGTTGGTTAGCTCTGTACAGCAATCCTGTAGTCCCTAATTAGTAATTCAAAAACGTGTGCACTGAACAGATTTTCCCTTTTGTCACGCTTGCTCCTTTTTTTTTCTTCTGTAATTTTTGTTTTGTTACTGTGTTTTGATGCTGGGGATTGAACTTAGAGCCTCACCCAGGCCAGGCAAGTGCCATATCACAGAGTATGCTTTTAGCCATACCGGGGATTACATCTAGATATTTTTTTTTCCCTCTTACTCTCCTTTTTAAAAATTCCACTCTATCTGGATACCAGGTATAGAAGCCAGCGCCTTCACAATGAGCTATAGCCCCAGCAATTTTTTTTTGGTACTCCATCTTTTTTTTTTGCAGGGTCTTACTACACAGCCCACATTAGTAGTGATCTCCTGATTTCTGCCTCCCAAGTGCTGGGATTACAGGCATGCACCACTACGCCCAGACTCAGCGCACCCGATAGCGAACCTTGGCCCCTGCACTTACCTAAGCATGCGCTTAGTCCACTGAGCTATGCTGCTGGCCCTTTAAGGCTGGTCTCACTAAGCTACCCAGGCTGGGCTCAAACTTGAGGCCTTTCTCCCTCATCCTCCCAGAGCAGTGAGATTATATAGGATCTTGTGAGCTATGCATTTAGTTTAATACTTTTTAACCCTTTGAAGTGTTGTTGTTTTTTTTTTAAATACACACTTAAGTGTTTTATGTACTGCAAAATGAATTAAATATAATTGGTTTGAAACTTCCGTGTCACCACATATTTTTGAGAACATTATCACACCAAGCCACCATGAATTTTAAACCCTTTGAGCTGTGTTCTCAGTTGGGTGATGGAGGTTGAACCCGGTGCTTGTGTATTCCAAGAACATGTCCTACTACTGATCTCATTCAACATTTTATAGTGTTTTCAATTTTGTGGGTTTTTTCCTGAATATTCTGTTACACTGCTTAATTCGTGAGCTTAACATTATTTTGAATTTACTGTCCTGTGCTTTGGAAAAAGCATACTGTAGTTTTGGTGGTGTTACAGGGCCCAGTGTGTTAAGCAGTTGCTGCTGCTTTAGCCTCTGTATTGGTCTTTCCTCATTTTAAAAGTGCAGTTAGATGCAACAATGGAAGAGGCCTTGATGTGGGCCCGGCTGGAAAGCACTTTTCATGGTTTTTTTGGGTAGAAGTCTTCTGTTCTCCTTTGTTGGCCATTCAGAAATTTTAAAAGCTTTAAGCTGGAGAAATGTAACAATGCAGAAGTTGAAAGCCCTCCAGGCGACATAATCACTGAATACAGTGGCTTTTTATAAAGGATCTCATGCAGGCATAGCTGTGCTTCTGCTATATAGTGTGTAGCCCACTTTTTGTTTAGTGGGTATGTTTCATTGTGTCGTGATCCTACACGTATGTAAGTGCTTGTTTCAAGTAGCATGTATGGAATACATTATATTGCATATTTTTCAGGTTATTTCAGAGATTTTTCTTTTTTAATCTCAGAGAAGATTTGAATGAACTTCAGCTTGGCTGCACACTCCTTTTGTATCCCAGCAATCCTCCCTCAGATTCCTGAGTGCTGGGATGTTAGGCATGTACCACTGCACTCTGATAAGTGATAGTCTTCAAAGTTCTGCAGAGACTTAGGTGATTTATAAATTCTACATACTAATAATGTATTGCTGCATACTGGTACATTGCCTTTATTTATTTATCTATTTGGGCAGAACCTGGGATTGAATTCGGGCCCTTGCACTTGCCAGGCAAGCGCTTATCTTCCCGGCCCCCATTTCCTTTCTTCCCCTTCTTCCCCTTCTTCCCCTTCTTCCCCTTCTTCCCCTTCTTCCCCTTCTTCTTCTTCTTCTTCTTCTTCTTCTTCTTCTTCTTCTTCTTCTTCTTCTTCTTCTTCTTCTTCTTCTTCTTCTTCTTCTTCTT